AACACCGGCCATGATCTCTGCGCATCTTCATGCGCTCCATGAAAGTTGAAGGGTGCCAAACCGAAATACAAAAATACTGCCGTTGCAGACATTGCCTACAAAACAGCAGTTGTCTACAACAGCAGCATCTTCGAGGAGGACGGGGCAAAACATGTATCAACACAGATGTGGTTTCGCCGGAGTCGTATCAGCAGAGGCTGTATGTGGACCGGTTACACAAAGCAGCGGCAAGACCCACCTGCACACCTGCACCTGGAGAGAAACCGAGAGAGCGACGAGCGGAACGCAGGGTCGAGTGGCCCGATGGTCCATTGGTCCATTTTTCGGCCTGTTCGTTCGCACTACGGTCTGTTCAAAATTCAAAATTCAAAACAAGCGACCTCACCTTTTCTCTGGGAGGACACGCGGGCACTCTGCTCTGCGATGGGCATCTTGTCGCTGTCAAAATATGCGAAGAGTGTGGGGTCGCTGAACGTAAACCTGCAGCACGCGGAACACGATGACCGTATCGTAGTGGACGGCGGTTATCTCCTTCACCGCTGCTGTACAAGGAGGACAGCGGTACGCGATTTATTGCTGCACGACGACGTCGCCCCGCTTGTCAGAGAGTGTGCTGCCGAGATCTCGCGGTTTGAGTCGCGTGGTTTCAAGGTCACCGTAGTCCTCGATGGATGCACCCCGCCGGCGAAGAAGAGCACTTCCGAAGCTCCCAGAACCAAGCGGGAGGCTGCAGCCAGTGAGGCCCGCGAGCTCTAAAGAACTGGGGACCGACTTACGGAGATCAATAAGAAGGCCAGCAGTGCGTGCGTGTTCGACTCCCGCGTTGTCGCAAGGGTTGCAACGCTCTTGCGCCCCCAGATAGCAGGAGAGGTTTACATCGCTCCAAGGGAGGCCGACCCACAGATCGTGATTTTCCAGGACATCTACTTAGAGACGGGGTGTCTTGTGTATGTTTTCGCGAACGATTCGGACTTGATCGTCCTCGGTGTTCGATCGTTGCTGTGGGACGTTAGAGGGACTGATGCGGGAAATCTCACGGGAGTGTGCATCAGGTCGAGGTTGATATTCCAACCACCGGAGTGGGCTTTCGCGATGGACGCCGAAGGCTACGATTTTCTCCGGCAACTGCACGGGCTTCCCCGCAGGCACACGCCTAACTTACGCGCTTCTCCTCTTACCGAAGCCGCCGCCCGCCGTAGGCTGAGTTTGTTCGCCACTCTCGCCGGAAACGACTTCGCCGATTTCAAGAACATCGGCCCTGTCAGGGCGGCCAAAGTGGCCTTCGAATTGATCGAACCAGATCCTCGGGGAACAGCCGCCGTTGTGCCTTTTGAGGCGCTTGTGGGCAACTTGGCAAGGATCGTCGTGCAGGACTCCAAGGAGGAGGAAACACCAGCGGCCCTAGAGGAGGCGGAGGAAAAGCTCAGGAGGTCTCATAACATGTTCCACAATGCGGTGGTGTGGGGCCCGTTGAAGAACACCCTCCGACATTTCTCCTGTGCTGCGTCTTCGCTGGCCATCACCAAAGACACAGGTCAGAGTCGTGGGGATCGTGTACGTGTTACCTGCTCCTCTAACTCCAAATATCCCCCACCTACGTGTAGTATCTCGGGGGTAACATGAATTCCTAGGAGTGGCATGTTGTTCGGTGTCTGTGCCTTCTCGTTCCGCGGTAATGGCTAAACGTATCGTCGACGTCGTGTCTATGTGCGTGCATGTGTAGTCTGCAGACAGAGTATTTAGGTCTTTCGTGCACATGCGGTGCAGCCTCTCCATAAGATTATTGTTCGAAGCTGGACTTTGCCCATGTCGTCGCACCGGAACGAACGCAACATTTTTTGGCCGACTCTCTAGCGCGCCCGGAATTGCCGTGGGGCACTCTACGCAATATGTAACATACATAGTATTGTATACGAGCTAGCTTCCGGTGTCTGTGTGTCGAACATGAAACAATACTGCTGTACCACGGTTGCTCCTGCTGTATTACTACAGGTACCCTGGAGTTTTCCTATGTCGCCTCTGGCATAGCATCGGGGGAAGTTTCTCCTACCACGGGCCAGGTGTGGGCCCCGCCATTACTGGAGGCCCGGATGGCACAAGAGTTTCGCCGTGCTACACGACGGCCCGGGAGCCAGCCGCCGCCGCCGCCGCCGCCGCCGCCGGGACCGACGCCGACCCCGGACCAGAGTACGGGCCGGAACAAGCGCTCTCGCAAGGCGGTGACTCACGACACCAACAACTACCATAAACACGGGTTTAGTCGTCTCCCCGGTGCCGAAGAAGACTTCAACAAGTGGACAGTCGCACAGCTACGCGAATTCCTCAGCGTGAGTCCAGCAGTTGCTTTCATGGTTACGTTTGGTATGCACACGGGATATTTATTTCAAGGGTTGAACAATGCGTCGCAAACTGCCGCGCGGGAATTTTAAAGTAGTTTGTCGCTTGGATGGTGCTTAAATATGTTGGGCTTTCGAAGGACACGCATTAATCACAGGAACGAGTGTACGAGGTCCCGTTCGTGTCGCGGCACCCCCACTCTTAACCGTTTGTCATGCGTACACGCACAGCGTGCTGCGAAGAAAAAATCCCCTCACGTGGTCCCTGTCCTATACTCGTGGCAGGTTTTTAGGTGCAGGTAGTGGCGATGATCAAGAAGTGCGGGTTGCTCAACAGCAACCAAGCGTTCCGCCATCCTGTCCCGGATCTCAGCTCTTTCCAAGACAAGGAGCGCATGGCCATGCCCGAACTACCCGGCCCCCGTTCGCGGATAAGCGGCTTTGAACATCTACAGCAGCACCTCCCCGAAATGTCCAAGTCGGTGATTCTGCAGTTCCTCCGATAAGTCAACCCCATCTCTGGCGAGGGTTCGCGGGTTTGGTACAGGGGGATGCAGAAGGTTATGGATATGGGGAACCTGAACAGGTTGTGGGGCGTCCCGGCCAAGAACGGGTTGATGTATCTGGGAATGAGGTAAGTAGCCACTAGATGGTGCGACCGGAAGTTACCACGCGAGAGGTACTTACTATTGTTGTTGCTGTCACGTGCTGGTGGCGTCGTATCCTTTCGGCAGGCCTGTAAGCGCTTCTCCCACACCGAACGCAGTCTTACCACTACCAACTACATTCGACACGCATTTCGCGCCATAGTTTTCAAGATCACACCACAACCGCCCCCCCCCACCCCCTCCTGCATCCCTCATGCTCTGGTAGCTTCGTTGGTGCTCTTTTGGCGCATCCCACTAGTTCACTTCTACGGTAAGAAGCCCACATTGTTATGCCATGCTCCTGACAAATGTATACCCACCAGTCCTCTTTAACGGTAAGAAACCCACTTTTTTTTTTTTCATGCTTGTGACGTAAATACGACCTTGCCTCGTCGATTGTACCTCACGCCATCTTCCCTACGTCCACGCTCGCTTCTGGTCAGCGCCGGTGCCTCCTTCTCGGATACGAAAACGTACGAGGTCCGCATACAACTGCGGGTGGAGGCGTTGGACGAGAGCGCTCATCCCTCAGCAGCGGAGGAGGAGGAGCACGGGGTAGAATCTGGGCAATGGCCGAGACAGACCCTCGTCGCCCTTGGTGTGGTCGCCGCTCTGTGCGAGTGTCCTGCCGGCATAAGCGGGGGATGCTCCCACACTGCAATGGTCCTCTTCTTGACTCGTCTGCTGCAGATGACCGAGGACGAACTAGCCACGTTCAACCCATCTACATGTACCGGTCGAGCTTGCAGTTGAATCATGCAGAACTGTAAGGGGGGCAGGTCGGGAGAGCAGCATTTGTTGTATGGAGAACCTCTATCGCACGGCACGAATGCGGTCAGGAAAATGCGGGATCCTCGGCGAGGCTTTGACGACGACGTTCCGGCGAAAGTACAGGGAGTAACCGCGATCGATCGAATGCAAGACTTCAACCCGCACCCCTCTGGAGGAAAGTGGGATGAACTGAAGCTCCACTTCGATGCTGGCAAGGATTTCAGTAGGTTCAAAATGGACAAGCTGCTGGCGTTCGTGGATTGTGCCAGGGGCCCGGGTATCAGAGCAGTCGCCATGGATTACCTTCCGCCGCTCGTGCGTGAAGATTGCGACCTGTAGCTTTGTGGTTCATTTTCCCTTCAGATTGTTTTCCGTTCAGAGTGTTTTGTTAGCGGCACTCCAATGTGGCCTCTCTTCGGTGACTTCTACGTAAACGTGTCTACAGGCTCGACCCTCAGAGGTTAGTGCAACATTATTTTGTGGTAGGTTCGTTTTATTGGATGTCATGGGGGGAGGGGGGGGGGGGCTACGCACGGGTGCCACGTGGGACGTCTACGCACGGTAGGGTTGAAAGTACCTTTTCGCTTTGGGCGCGGCGGCATCCGTCCGTCGCGACCATACACCCCATTAATTTGTTGCAAGATGAAGCGGGGGACAAAGAGCTACCAGCTCTCGCTAAACGCATGGGTTTTCTTTGGCGAGTGCATGCTTTGCCTGCCGCCTTCGCTACAATAGACTATTTTTTTAGCTCGCTGCACGAGCTGCGTGTATTCGTCCCTGAACACGGCGCTCGTGCCCATTTTACCGTTCATCATGCAGAAGATTCGTGCGATATGATGGAGGGTTAATAGTGATATTTTCCTGTTTTTCCCTGACACACTTGCCTTCCGTCGACGGAATCCCAACTAAAAACAGAGAAATAGAAACAGCTAGAGTTACCGGTCGGGGGTTGGTAGGTACCATGCGAAACCCGAAGCAGTCACTGCTGCCGACCTGCCCTGAACTCAAAGTCTGGTAGGATGGGATTTATGGTCATTGTTTCAGAACGTGATTACACAGAGAGGTTGTTGCACTGGTTCCATTAGCTCGGATGCTCTCTTGCAAAATATACACCGTTTAGGAGGTGCTCCCCACAAGCGAACACTGACAACCCCGCACTAAGCCTGGGGTACCCCTATATCTAGCAAGTACATCACCGTGTATGCTCACTCGCCCAGCACATCCACCCGCCGAATATCTCCGTCTACTCTTGGACGTACTTCTACTACATGTACTACATAGAATTTTCCTCAAACCGCAAATGGCACAACACCAACAGAACACCACACAACATGCGCTTCAACAGGAACTCTACCATAACACCACACAACACGCGCAACAAGGATGGGAGAGCCAACGCCACGGGGCAGCACATCCGCGCGCATACAGCGACACACGCACACACACCGTACACCCCGGTATCCCTAGCTCCGAAACGGCTGTTGCATCAAGTTTACCAAAGCAGCCACTACATGAAAGCACATCTCCAGGTGATCGAGTTGCTTGTGATGGGACTTCGAGTCAACGATACTCCACTTCTTCATTGCTCCAATTGCTCGTTCTACGTGAATGCGCAAGTTGGCTACCTCCCAATTTTGCTGCATGTCGGCTTTGGTGAACTGAGTCTCGCCGTTAACCTTGAAGGGTGGCGCGCAATCGTGAATACCTTCCCTTATCAGCAAAGGCGAGATGGAGTTGAAACCCTTGTCGGCCATCACTTTGAAACCCATGTTAGATAGACCGTTTTCCCTCATAGCGTCGACGAGACCAGACCTGCGAACAACCTCAACGTCACTCATCCTCCCTGGGTACGCGGGTCCGATATAGCAAATGGCACCCCCGGGGGTTATCGCTACAAGAATTTTAGCCGTGTGCCTGCCCTTGTACGTGGAAAAAAACACAAAATTCATGTTTGTTTGCCACGACTTGGGGATCTCTATCTCCGTGGCATCCAACACCAACGCGCAATTCTCATAACCTAAGTCGTCGAAGTTCTTGGGGAGAAGGTCGACGACCTCTTTTGCCGAAGGCGACCGTATGACAGGACGGAGGCTGCGATAGAGGAAATTCAGCCACGTCGTGAAAGCCCTCCCCCCGGTACTCTCGTGCACACCGAATAGAGTCCACGCCACAACCAGCGGCATCGCCGTGCGCAACACCATCAACGTAAAAAATAGTCCGTTGACACCACGAAAAGTCTTGACTCGCTGGCTGTTTCCACCCGCTGAAATGCCTGCCCGTTCTCGCTGATCGAAAAACACCATGTTCTCCGCAGCGCCGTTGGCGTTCGCGAACTCGTACAGCTTCTGCAGGGTAGGGGCGGGGAGATGGGAGAAAGGGAGAAAATAGCCACGGGTTATGCCGGTGAAGATTTTGTGGGCGGCTACGCGGTCACAGCGGCGGAGCAATGCCGCTATTCGGCCGAAAGCGAAATGTTTGAGCAGAGGCGTCCACGGCTTGAGCGGAGGCGATAAAACTAAAAGCAATGACCGGCGGGAATGCAATCATACGTTGGTCATAGTTTAGCGGTAGCCGGTCCTATTTTTCTTTATGCGCTAACACGACTTTTTGCGGCAAAAACAATAACGGCGGTACACCCGGTGTTGCCCGGTGTTTGTGTAGGAAAACTGGCGCCAGGTTACTTACCGACACCACTTGAAAAACTGAACAAAACATTGCTTCGATTCGATCTGATAATCACCACTTGCCCTAGCCAGAAAACACACGAGGTTAAAGCCGCGGGCAGAGTTTTTTTTCCCAAAAACCGTTTTCTCCAAAAAAGCGGACAAACCTCGACAAACGCCTATTGTAGACCAACGGGCGCACAGTCCCTGCCAGCACACGCACGCCAAGACAACCACCCCTGCGGCGAGAGAGCCCCCCACGAGTGACATAACCTCTGCGAGCGGGCTCGGACGCAGTTACCCAAGGGTGCTTGGCTCTGGAGACTCAAGGCTTGGTGCAGGTGTGTGTGTGTGTGTGCAGCAGCAGCCGTTGTCGGTTGTCGCCTTGCTGTGACAGTTCGGACTCTCCTTGCGCATGGCGTTGGGTTGTGTAAGGAATAGGGCGGCGCCTCATGTGAACGAAGGTGGCGGTGTGTTAGTCATACTCCGTGTTCGGTTGGGGTTTCGGCGTGTCAGGCTTCCGCGTGCAGTCTCCTCTTGCGGTGCCGATAAGAAGTAACAAGCGGCGCGATTAATAAGCGGCGCGATTGCTGCTGCTGTGCGCTGTGCCGATCACCATACACACGCGACCGCGCGATGCACACACAGCTCGCCACTGAAGAGCAGTGTGCAAATCCTTGGGCTCGTGAGGTAAGCAGTCGGGGGCGTGCGCTCTCGTGTGGTTAAGAACGTCAGCATTCAGTCCACAGCAAAGATATGTATGTGTGTGTGTGGTGGTGGGTTCGGGCGTGCGCGCGCCTGTGGTTGTTGGCTACTTCGATTTTCGAGGGCCTACGTATACTGCAGCCGAAGCACAGGCGTCTCTAACCACCCTGCTGTAGTCGGTGACATAGCCGGTGGTATGGCGCTATCGACCTTGTCTCATACATGTCGTACAATGGTATGACATGTATGAGACAAGGTTCTTGACGCGGCCCCACCAATGCCGCACGAGGCCATGAGGGCTACGAACGAATGTACACCCTATGGAGTAGCGGTTTCGTTGATTCTGCACGAACCGTGTAGTACACCCGCTAACCAAACATGACCAGGCGACCGTGTGTGTACGCTGTCGCTATCCGAAATCCTTTTGCGCATAACTCCAACGGGAAACAGGACACGTCGCCATACAGCAGCAGTAGTATTGAGGGGGCCCGCTGCCGAGGGGATTCAAAATAGAAGATAGTTCGCCGAATGCCATCATCCCAATCCCGGGCCTACGTAGGTGATTTAGGATGTTAAGTTTCCGTGTTAGTGCTTGGCCAGCGTAATGCTGTTTCTGTGATGAGCCTAACCCTAGCCCGAGGGTGGGTACGGCATGCATGCATACGCAAAGACAATCAGTCACACGCACATCCAACATTAATTTGAGAAACACTCGGGAAGTTTAAGAAAGATCCCCTTACTGCAGGACCCGTTGTCTGGTGCTGTGCGAACCCTTCAAGCAAGAGGTGCAATATGTACATGTTGCTGCTGTGCACTCCAAATTGGGCCGGGGGGGGGGGAAGGCGCCACTCGCCGAAATGTCGCGTGTCTTTCAGGCGGCACGGGTCCTTCGTAGGACATTCTCCTGACGAAATATTAGCGTCATTGCGTCGTTACTAACCCTATCATCAAGCTTTTGCGCGAATTTCCCTTCTTTCTCGCGTGACGTCAAGATTCGTAACTACGGTAGCCGACGTAAATTTATTACGCCCTTTTCCGCTGTCCCTCGCAGGATGCCGTTCACCGGGTCCGACAAAGCGGCGCTGCTTTTGCTCGCGTCCCTGATGTTTATAGACGACGATGACGACGACTTTGAGACACCTCTCGTGCAAGCCCTTGGAACCGCCGGGTATGATGAGGTCGCCGACTTCCTCGACGGCAGCGCCAGGGACGGCACGACCAGACCGCATGCAAAGCGGTACTGGGAGCGCACGGGACGATACCTGAGCAGCGCCCAATTCAGAAGTGCCTTTCGGTGCAGGTATGTCGCTGGCCCGAAAGCTAGGGCTGACAGTATATGCGGCGGTGTCCCTAGGACCACAAGGCTGTTCACCAGTTTAGGCTGAGCACGTCCGCCTCTCCTAAACGTAGATTTTGTGCCTTCCGTTCGTGTCGACCCTTCGTCAGTGTACATTTGCATGAAGGGGTAAGAAAAGCGAGAGCCGTCACGCGCAATGAGCCTGCATGGGATTGATATTTTTTATTTGCGAGCGCGCGTGACCGCTGTCCCTCCAGTCCTGTCTCAGTCGCCCCAAAGAAGCCCCAGCCCCAAACAAACGTATACCTCTTTCACGCCCACAG